TGAATCCAGAAAACAATTTACAAAAAGACAAACTTTACTTACTGTCACCAGAGTGGGCAAGAAATCCACAGCCATTACTTCCTTCTTAGTTTTTCGCTCAAGGTAAATCTGGAAAGAAAAAAAGGTATCATGAGGAACTGCGTTAAAGGATGGCTTGAAGAGAACGGCCATCAATTCCCAACAAAGCCACCCCACATAAATGATGTGTACCAAGCAGAAAGAGTATTACCAAGCCAATTTGCCAACCTCCATCCCTTCTCTGTATCAACCAGACCTCTAATTTCTATATACTGATGCTCTAATCTCTACCTTAGGGCCTATTAGCTACCTCTAAGCAAACTATGACTCACCCATAGATATCTAGAGTCCTTAGATAGCTTTAAACTACACACCTAGCAGTCACCGTGAATGTGAATTTCTTGGGGCTGCCCCTTTCAAACTTAGCTAGCCTGATCTAAGCTCGCTTGCCTTTCCTCACTTGGCCCTTCCACGGAGTACTGTGTGCTCCCCAAGGAACTGTAGATATAATACAACCTGTAAAGTTTCCCAGCCTCTCTCTCTCTAGATCTGGGTCTGGGCTTATCACACCTTACCCATGGTACTATGATTAAAACACTGCCCCCACCCAAATCACGCCAGATGGTTGTTCCATTGCCCCTCCTAAATACATATCCACAGGTGCCACCTCTTATAGCATCCAAGCCGCAAACAGCTCCCCATACACGGCCTCCAAGTGGGAAGGGTGGGCACCCCGCCTGCCTAAGAGAGCAAGGAAAGAAGGTGCCTGATGAGTCAGGCAAGTGTCAGCCCTGCGCTGACTGCGTAGCCTGCAGTGGGCGCCCCCGGGTGCCGCCCTGGCTTGAGCACCAATACACCAACTCTGTGGAGTCCTCTCCAGCGGGCCTGCCTCGGCCAGGCAGAGAGAAGCTGCGGTGGAAGTACTCACAGTTACTCTATGATGCACGCCTCCTCCGCGCCAGGAAATCGTTGAGTGCTTCCCAGGTATTATTTTTAATCTTCACAACTACTCTAAAATAATAAATACTGCTTGCCCCATTGTGCACATGTGAGGAAGACTGAGAACTAGGGAGCTGTGACCCGCCCAAAGTCACCAAGACCCCAGTTAAATTTTGTCAAATTCCCTGGCCACTCTCGGCCTCGGTTTGTTCGTCTGTAAAATGGGAACAGTGCACAGCCAACCGACCTGTTATCTGAGGTTCAGTGAGTTAATTCACTTAAGGCACTAGACTACCGCCTGGCATACCTATGGTTCTCCTATGTATTAGCTATTGTTTGTTATTATCTGTTTCACTAAGGAAGCTCAGAACAGCAGCCACGAAGGACCGACCGGCACGCACCCCACGGCTCCCGGCACACCCAGCTTACCTGGCAGGGGCGCTCCCTCCTCGCAGGCCTCCCGGCAGCCAGCGCGACGCCCCAGGGCCCAGCCGCCCCCGGCCGCGGCTCCGCACGCCGCCCCACTCGCCCGGAGGGAGGCGCGGGCTCCGACTGCGGCCCTGAAGAGGCAACTGGGAGCGCCTCGGCCCCAGTGGACACACCTTGCGGAGCCAGGGCGCCCCGCGCCACGACCTCCGACAAAGGGCGCGAGCGTCCCGCAGACCCCCGGACCCGGGGAGAACTACGACTCCCGGCATCCCTCGGGCCCCTCCGACTACGCTTCCCAGAGGGCCCCGCGGTGCGCCCGGCGACTTCCGGGAGGGAACCGCATCCGCCCGCGAGAGCGCTTGTCCTGCTGTGCGCGGGGCTGCGCCTCGAGCGAGCGCGCGCGCTCCACCCTGGCATGCGGGCGGGCTTGTTTTGTCAGCAGGCAGAATGATTTGGAAAAAAACCTGACTTTTTTTTATTTTTTTGAGACAGGGTCTGTGTCTGGAGCCCGGGCTGGAGTGCCGTGGCTGATCGTAGCTCACTGCTGCTCCTGGGCTCCAGCGATCCTCGGCCTCCCAGGGCGCCGGCCAAAATCGACTTTAGATGCCTTAAGTGTGCCGTAGCTCCCACCACCAGCGCTGATTATTTTTAATTATTTTAATGTGTGCCATACACGGAAGGTAACATATGCACAGGTACAGTTTTTAAAACAGTGAAGTGAATACCCACATACCCGATACTTGGATTACAAAAGAGAACTTACCCAGAATTTTGGAAGCCTGTCCACAATGCCCTCATTTTCCTGAGAATTGCTTACAGTATTCCCTTGTTTAGTTTGATGACAATTCCATATGCATCTGTCCCTAAACGTTAAACGTTTACTTTTGCAAGGTTTTTGATCTTTATGTAAACAAAATACGCTCACTCTATATATATTCTTTGGTGACTTATATGTTCAGCACAAACACTTTTAGATTCATCTATTTTAATACGTACAAATTTTATTCATTTTCATTGCTTTATAGGATTCCATTATTCATTTATTCAACAACAGCAAAAATATATTGAACACCTATCTTGTGCCTGGCATTGTTCTAGATGCTAGAAGTACATTGGTGGGCAAAACTGGCAAAACGTGAGCACATGTGCAGCTTGAATTCTGGGGAGAAAGAAGAAAGATTATAAACAAGAAGACTCTCATGAGCCATTATTTCTGTGAAAAAAAAAAGAAGAAATATGTTTTGAGATAATGTGAAGGAGACTAAAATGTTTCACTCCAAAATATACTTTTTTGACATATTTTGAGATGGCTATTCATAGAGCTTACAGGCAGGAATAGCCCTGCAAAGCAGTCTTTTGTGGAGGAGACTTGTATATGTAGAGGAAATAAAGTGAAGTAAACAACAGATGTGAACAAGCTGGCTTTCTCTGAGGCCCTTCCTTGTCCAGTTCTAGGAAAGATTTACTGAGAGTTTGACACCTTTGAAAATCTGACAAGAGAAACTTTAACCACAGGCTACCATCTATCCTCAGAGGGCTGCTACCTCTGAGGTTTCATCTGCATAACCAGACCACCTTTTCTCCAGATATTTCTTCTCTCCCTCTGGTAACCTGTCTTTGCCATGATCCAAATTCTTTCTGTAACCTCAAGATGGTATAAAAGTGTCAATCCTTGCCTTTATCTGAGTTTTTATATTTTGTATGACCCCTGTGCTCATATGCATGTTAATAAAACTTGTATGCTTTTTCGTCTTGTTAATCTGTCCGTTTGTTTTATAAACTTAAATTATCAAAACTTCAGGGGAAAAATTTAAACTTCCTCACAAGTGCTAACAAGAATAAGAAGGGGAACAGTAGGTGGGGGGAGGGGGAAGGTTTTGTAATTTTACACAAATTGGCTAAGAAACATTTCACTGAGAAGGTGGTTGAAAGAAAGTCCTGCAGAAGATGAGGAGGGAGGCACATTAAGTATTTGTGGAAAGGCTCAGGTGTTATATCTGAGATTCACAAGGCCGCAGGACAGAGAGATAGAGTCACCGAGGCTGTAATTACCAAAAGGAGTTTTATTGTCTAGCTCGAGCTAGGGTCCAAGCCCCCAGAGTGCCAGAGCAGTGACCTCTTTTCTGGGCAGGGACCCTCCTTTGTGTGTTAGTCCCCTTTTGTAACTTAGTTGTTTACACACTGGTCTTGCATCCGCCCCACAGTGATTTTTACTTCAGCCTGCCCCTGATAGGCCCTAACCTGTTCCGGGTCCTAGCTGAGAGACTCAGGTTTCTGCTCTCTTTGTCTTTTTCTTCTGCATCCCATAATATACCCATAATGCCTTGCGGTTAGCAAACAGGCAGTAAACAGAAGCTGGAAGGTGTCTATTGTCCTTATAGCCCAGTATCTTACATTTTCCCCTTTCTCTTGGTTCTTATGAGCATTCTTGCTAGTATTCAGGGTCTTGTATCTCTTTTATTCTTAAACTGTTTTTTTTAAGACTCACTCTTTGGTACTGCTGCTGCAGTACCATTAACTGCACAGTATTTATTTGTTCTTTTATGAAAGTGACTAACCTGTTCAGGATACATGGCCTAAAGGTGAGGATGAGCATGAGCACTATTATAGGTCCTAACAAGGTAGATAGCAGGGTAGTTAACTACGGGGAACTGTTGAACCATGACTCAAACTATTTTTGTTGCTGCTCTCGCTCTCGTTTTTGTCGGGCAAGTCCCTCCCTGACCTTTGCCATGGACTCTCTAACTACCCCAGTATGGTCTGCATAGAAGCAGCACTCTTCTCCTAAGGCCGCACATGGCCCCCCTGGTGGAGGAATACTAAGTCCAGCCCCCTCTGGTTCTGCAACACTACTTTGGACAACGAAGTTAGGGATTTTTCTAAATGGGAAATGGACTCTTTAATTCTGGCTATGTCTTTATTTACGGCGGCCCTTAAACTATTGAACCCCCTATGCTGCACTGCCAAGGATGAGATGCCTGTCCCTGCTCTTATTGCCTCTAGGCCAAAAAGAGTGGCCAAGGTTATTGCTGTGAAAGGCTCCTTTTTTTTTTTTTTTTTTTAAAGTTGGAGTCCTTTCTTTTTCTGGTCTAAGCAGCATAGATGGTGTCTTCTTGATGATAGATGACCTTAGTGAACACTAGTACCATAATGCAGTATTCTTCAGACTCATTGAAGACTGATAGGCTTAGGCAGGGGGTTAGGCTTGTCTTTGAACACACCCACCACCCGTTGAGTGCTGGGACCAGCCATTTTATTCTACTGGTCCGGTCTATGGTAGGGTGAACCTCGGCACAAAACTGCTTGTGGCTATCAGGCACCTTTTTTATGCAGGTTTTATTTCTGGTGACTGACAGAAGAGTCAGTCTCGGTCTCTTGTGGTCCCATTTACAAGACTTGGGAATTTTTTTTTTTTTGACTGGCTAAAGGGGGTAGCTATTTCCACTGCTTTATAGAAAGGAGGTCTGATACCATAACATAACCAGCACGCCTCGGTGAGGGCTGGTTCAGTGTGGTTTAAAGTCTCATATGCCGCTGTCAGCATGTTCTATAGGGAGTCTTCGGTTTCTTTTGCTTTAGGGGTGTTTTGACCTCTAGGGATGACCTGACTTATAGTTTTTGCCCCGGCGAGTTGTGGAGAGAAGACTGTTGGTTGCGGAGTTGGTCTGTTCTGCTTTTTTTTTTTTTTTACCTGTACCTCTGGGTAGGCCCTACAGCACCTGTGATGGGAGCCACTAAGTTTGATTTGTATTATTGAGCAGAGATATGGCCTTTGATAGAGGCATATTCCCCAGGACAGCCCTGACATCTACCTTTTATTTTTCTTTCCCTCTTCTGTAAATTTTATCTGTATCAGGTTACAGTTTCTGGCATACCTATCTCTAGTACAAGGTTGGACATAGGACATTTTAATGAAAAGAGGTTGTACCTGCCATTTCTACTCCCCGTCATTTGTGGTCACACACCACCATTTGGCACAATAATAACCTCTAATACCCCCACACTGACGGTTTTCCTGAGGGGGCCGGAATCTCAGACAGGCATAAAACCCATTTCGGCTCATAGAGGTCCGTTCTAAGTCTTCCCTCTATGGTCTAGTTACTTAAGAACAGGGGATTGGGGCAGCAGCGGGGCCTCCTGAGGATATCGCTACTGTCTGTGCTGGCTTTTCTAGGGCACTGACTTTTTCTAAGTTGAAATATAAATCTGGCTACCAGGTGTTTAGTGGCTCTGCCCTTGAGGTGCTATTGTATACCTTATGGGTTTTTAAGTTCGTTATTTTCTATGTAAGTTTATATGGCAGATGTGGGTTTTTATTATTAATTATAACTGCAAAACTCTGGTCTAAGAGCAGGATATCCATAATGCACTTGCATATGAAACATAGAACAATACCCAACCCCATCTTTGCAGCTTAGTCCCAATCTTTGGGGTAACTAGTCCCAGTCCGAGTCTTAGCAGGGCGATCAGCAGTTCTATCAGAGTTTGAGTCAATATTCTCGTTTACTTTGCCGATGCCACACGGGTCAGCCTGGTCTTTAGTGGATTTGTGAGGTCTGCTGTCGCCTCCACTCGTCCTGCTGTCGCTTCTGCTCATCCTCACCAGCCGGTCTCACGTGGGAGTGGTGGATCCAGGTTGCTACCCCGTCAACCTTAAGAGCAGTGGGGGTAACGAGAATAATTTGAGAGGGTCCTTTCCATTTAGGCTCTAGGGTTTCACTGTTATGCCGTTTCACCCATACCCAACCCCCTGGCTGGTGATGGTGATACAAGTGTTTAATACTCTCGCTCCCTGGCCCAGCTGTCTGGTAGATGGCCTGGAGGGCCGGCCACACTTGGCTGTGAACACTTTGCAGAGCTTGTACAGCTTGCAGCACCTCTTTGGGGTGTTCTGGGAGAGCCTCAGGGCCCACCCTAGGGATTACAGGTGGAGGGGTACCATACACAATCTCAAAGGGGGTTAGGCCCAAATGGCATGGGGTGTTCCGGGCTCGGAACAGGGCAAAGGGAAGGAGGGTCACCCAGTCCCCGCCAGTCTCTAGGACCAATTTAGTTAAGGTCTCTTTTAGGGTTTTGTTCATTCTTTCTACCTGCCTGAGCTCTGGGGATTATATGCACAATGTAACTTCCAATCTGCCCCCAGTGATCGGGCTAGCCCTTGACTGACCTGACTTGTGAAGGCTGGCCCATTGTCAGATCCTATGCTCTCCGGCAGCCCGTACCTAGGAATTATTTTTTTTAATATTTTTTTTTTGCCACTATTAAGGCAGTCTCTCCTTTAGTAGGAAAAGCTTCTACCCACCCTGAGAAGGTGTCTACCATGACCAACAAATATCTGTACCCATATTTCCTGGGTCTTACCTCTGTAAAGTCTATTTCCCAAAATAATCTTGGTTGCCTTCCCCGCTCCCTGGTACCTGCATGGGTCCCTCTGATCCTCCCCGGCTGCATAACCTGGCAGACACGGCAGTTCCGGACAATGTCTTCTGCTATCTTTCCTTGTGATTTGAATCTGATTTGTGCAGTGTCCAGCAACTGTAGCATCTTCCTTTTTCCCAGATGCTTCGTCTGGTGCAAGTGTCCTAGTAGTAGGTTTTTTAAGGCTTCAGGGACTACTAGGCGATGCTCTCCATCTTGGAGCCAACCGTCCTTACTCTGTGTTGCCTGCAGTTTTTCTTTGGCCCAGGTTATATTCGTGCTGGAATAATATGGTTGGGGGGGGCATTTTTCCCATCCCAGGAGGTGGCAAGCTCAAACATAGAACTTCTGTTAGTGCTGGTTCCTCTGCAGCCCTTTTTGCCTCAGTGTCTGCAGCCGGGTTGCCCCAGGCTTCAAAAGAATCCCCCTTCTGGTGTCCCGGAATGTGGACTACTGCCACTGCTTTTGGCAACAAAATGGCTTTTAGCAACTGAAGTATTTCAGGCTTATGTTTGATTTCTCTGCCCTCTGCCGTGATGAAACCTCTCTCTTCATAGAGAGCCCCATGTATGTGTACTGTCCCAAAGGCATAGCGACTGTCGGTGTATACCGTCAGCCTCTTTCCTTGGGCCCTGCGGAGGGCTTCCGTCAATGCCACCAGTTCCGCCTTCTGGGCTGATGTCCCCTGTGGGAGGTGTGATGCCCAGATAAGATTGCCCCGCTCATTCACTATAGCCGCCCCTGCATACCTGTGTCCGTCCGGAACAAAGCTGCTCTCATCGGTGAACCAGGTCAGGTCGCTGTTTGGAAGAGGGTGGTCTTTTAGATCTTTCCTGGCCATCTGGGTCTCGGCCAGGATCTCGAGGCAACTGTGTTCAGGTGTTTCCGGCTCTGGATCCGGCAGGAGTGTGGCCGGGTTCAGGATGGCAGGAGTCCGGAACTCAATGCGAGGAGTGTCCAACAGAAGCCCCTGGTAGAGAGTCAGCCTCGCATTTGTAATCCTTCGCCCTGGCGGCTGCTTCAGGATCCCCTCTATGGCGTGAGGCGTGGTACTCTGCAAATGCTGACCCAGGGTGAGCTTATTGGTGTCTTTGACCAGTAAGGCAGTAGCTGCCATGATTTGATGATTTGCAGACAAGCCGGCCATCCCTCTGCTACCAGGTCTAGTTTCTTTTTTTTTTTTTTTTTTTGACAGGTACGCCACTGGGCGCCTCCAAGGTCCTAGTGCCAGTGTGAGCACTCTCTTGGCTATTTTCTTTTTCTCATCTACAAACAGATGGAACTCTTTTGTAGGATCAGGAAGCGCCAGAGTCGGAGCCTTTAACATAGCTGTTCTCAAGGCTCGAAAGGCACTCTCTATCTGCACTGTCCATTTCTACGTTTGTCCTGCCTTGCACCCTTTATACAAGGGTCGAGCCTTCTCTGCGAACCCCGGAATCCAGAGGCGGCAGTATCCCACTGACCCCAGGAATTCCCGCACTTTCTGACAGGAGGTCGGGGTGGGTATTCTAAGCACAGTCTGTTTCATTGCTTCTGTTAGCCACCTTTGGCCTCCCTTAATTTTATATCTTAAATAGGTGACTTTATTCTTGCAAATCTGGGCCTTCTTGGCACTAGCCCTGTAGCCCATTTCCCCTAGCACTCTGAGTAAGTCTTTGGTGCTCTCCAGGCAGGTCTGAAGGGTCGGAGCAGCTAATAGTAAATCATCTACATACTGCAGCAGGGTCACCTCTGGGTGGTTGGCACGGTACTCACCCAGGTCTTTGTGAAGGGCTTTGTTGAACAAGGTGGGCAAGTTCTTAAACCCCTGGGGCAGTCTTGTCCAAGTCAGCTGCCCCTGGATCCCTCTCTCTTCGTCCTGCCACTCAAAGGCAAGTATTTCTTGGCTGTGCGGGGCCACGGCTAGGCTGAAAAAGGCATCTTTTAAATCTAGGACAGTGTACCAAATCTGCGTTGGAGGAAGGGAGCTTAGTAGGGTGTAGGGGTTAGGAACCGTAGGGTGGATGTCTAGGACATGCGTGTTGACCTCCCTGAGGTCCTGCACAGGCTGATAATCCTTTCCACCCGGTTTCTTCACTGGCAACAAAGGAGTATTCCAGGCTGACTGGCACCTCAGGAGAATCCCGGCGTCTAGGAGCCTTCGAATGTGGGGCGTTATTCCCACTCTAGCCTCCTGGGGCATGGGGTACTGTCTAACTCGGGCTGGCTCAGCCCCTGGTTTTAACTCAATGTATAGAGGTGGCCGATGCTTTGCCCACCCTGCACGCTCCTCTGCTAGACCCAGCTAGTCTTGTTTGACAGTTTTCCCGTGGTCTCAGTAATCACCAAATGTTCTGCCTCCGTGTCTACCAGGAAATTGACTGGGCTCTCTTCCACTAGTAAAGTTACCCTGGGCTTGGGGAGGGGAACCGAGCCCCGTCCCCCTCCATTCATCTTCTATTTGCCCCACCACCATAACCTTCTCGGAGGATTTAGCTCTACATCCCCCCTTCTTCTTGGGGCGGTTCCTAGCCCAGTGTCCATGCTCCTTGCAACTGGCGCGCTGATCCTTGCCTAGCCTCTCCCTCCGGGGTCACTCCCGGCCTCTTGCCCCTAGCTGACCTCCTCCCGTAGCTGCGAGTAGGATTTTGGCCATTTCTTTGTTCACCCTGCGCGCCTCGCCCGCCTGAAATTTTCTATCTTTTAATCTTAGTGTCTCTAACTTCGGGTGATTTTTTGTTATTATATACTTTTTCTGCCACTTTTAGCAAGTCCTGTGGAGTTTTGTCGCACAGCCTATCTATCCTTTGCACTTTCGCCTAATGTCTGGGGCTGCCTGATTTACAAAGGCCATTATGACAGCCGTTTTACTCTCTTCTACGCTGGGATCTATCGGAGTGTACTGCCGAAAGGCTTCTATAATTTTTTTCTAGGTAAGCTGCCGGACTTTCCTCAGGCCCCTGACGGACATCTCCTACCTTAGCCAAATTGGTCGGCTTCCGTGTGGCTGCTCAGAGACCGGCCATCAGAGTCTGGCCGTAGACCCGGAGACGCCCCCTGCCTTCAGCCTCATTGTAGTCCCAGGGCGGCCGTTGGAGAGGGAAGGTCTGGTCGGTGACTCAGGGGTTGATGGTGTGCCGTCCTCTCCTGGAACCAGCTTCCGTGCTTCTGCTTGGATTCTTTCTCTTCAGTTGTAAAAAGTACCTTGAGCAACTGTTGGCAACCATCCCAAGTGGGCTAATTTGAAAAAAAAAAAGACTGAATCTAAAAGGTTAATTAAATCCCCATCTGCTCTCAGGGGAGCGCCCTCACGCGGCTCCGGATCTGGAGCCCTTTCAGCCCGCTGCCTAGCCCGTAAGCCGGTCCCGCCTCAGCCGTCCATTGCGGCCATAGGCGCCGCAGGTACCATTGCCGCCGCCACCAGGGGGGGTCGAGCGGAGGGCGCAGGCCCACGGGAGGGCCCTGGGCACGGCGCCGCAGGGAGAGCGCAGGCGCGGGCCGCCACCGAGAGGGCCCTGGCACGGCGCCACAGGAGAGCGCAGGGCGGCGGCGCCCGGGGCCGGAGCCGGGCGGAATGCGCCGCAGGGAGAGCGCAGGGCGCGGCGCCACGGGAGGGCCCTGGAATGGGCGCCCGCAGGAGAGCGCAGGGCGCGGGCGCCACGGGAGGCCCTGGCGTGGCGCTGCAGGGAGGAGCGCAGGGCGCAGGCGAGCATAGGGCGGGCCCTGGGAACGGGCCGCCAAAGCCATCCTGTTTGCTTTGGCGCTTCTCCCCTCACAAAGGTCCTGTGCCCCCTCCCTCACATCCTTAAAGTGACTCACGAGGATAGACAACGGCGTCGTCAGAGTCTGTCTCATTCCCGAAGAGGAAATCCTAGACACAGGACAGGAATCACTCTCACAATCGCACAGGTGTAAAGACAAGACCAATGAGGCCCAAGTAACAAAATGATTAAACAGACGAATAAACAAACAAAACAAAAACAAACAACAACAACAACAAAAACAAACTAAACAAATTGACCCTCCTGTTCCGGAACCTCTCCCCGGTCCCCTTCTGACCGAGCCTCCAGCTCCAAGGTCAGCCGTGGGGATTCCAAGGAGGCCAGCAGACGTCTCCGTCTGGCCTCCACGGCCACCCAGCAGCGCGTCCGCCTAGGTCCTAATGCGGGTCCACTAGTCCGGGGCTCCAATCTATACACTCCTTCCCCGGCTCTGCGTCCTATCCAGCGGTCTGCGAGAATCCCGGACGAGCCCCCAAATGTTATATCCGAGATTCACAAGGCCGCAGGACAGAGAGACAGAGTCACCGAGGCTGTAATTACCAAAAGGAGTTTCATTGTCTAGCTCGAGCTAGGGTCCGAGCCCCCAGAGTGCCAGCGCAGTGGCCTCTTCTCCGGGCAGGGCCCCTCCTCCTTTGTGTGTTAGTCCCCTTTTATAACTTAGTTGTTTACACACTGGTCATGCATCCGCCCCCACAGTGATTCTTACTTCAGCCTTCCTCTGATAGGCCCTAACTTGTTCTGGGTCTTAGCTGAGAGACTCAGGTTTTTGCTCTCTTTGTCTTTTTCTTCTGCATCCCATAACATACTCATAATGCCTTGTGGTTGGCAAGCAAGCAGTAAACAGAAGCTGGAAGATGTCTATTGTCCTTGTAGCCCAGTATCTTACACAGGCAGAATGAAAAGCAGATTCAAATGTCCTTAGGTGGGAGCATGCCTGGCCTGTTGAAGGATCAATAATGATATGTCACAGCCCAACCCGGTACACTGCCTGCTGCTCAAAAGGAAGCCAGTACACAGAGACAGCAGGGTTTACAGTGGAGAAAGGCACCATGTGAGGACATAGAGGAATATATCAAATCCATCTCTCTGAGAATTTGGGAGAAGGGATTTTAAATGTACTTTGGTGGTCAAAGGGCTAGGGAATTGGGTCTGCTGATTGGCTGGGGATAAACTTGTAGGATCAGGAAGTAGAAATTGTCTTCTTGTGCTGAGTCAGTTCCCAGGTGTCAAGACCAGATGACTTGGTTCCTTGGGCCACTCATCTTGTTGTGTCAGTTGGTCCACCGGAATGCAGGGTCTGGAAAGTATTTCAAAGACCTGCTTTCGGTTTCACAAGAGTGATGTTATCTGTGGGAGCAATGAAGAAAGCTAAGAATCTTTATGACCATCAGCTATGTGACTCTTGAGTAGTACACAATTATAGGAAAGCAAGCTAGGGGGCAATGGTTGGTGTTTATATGTGTATGCATGTATGTGTGATATATATATGTGTGTGTGTGTGTGTGTGTGTGTGTATATAATTATGATATACCTTTGCAGAGTTTGGGCCCTTACCACTGTTCCCACCTTACAGCCTTTTATTAATTTTTTTTTATTTTATTTATTTTTTTCTTTTTTCTTTTTTTTGCAGAGACAGAGTGCAGAACTTTTATTAATTTTTTAAGGGGCACTTTCAGATACTGTTGATGAAGCAGATATGAAAAGGAGAGAGTAGCAGGAGACTAGAGGCAAGGGGGCCTGAATGTGTAGGCTTTTATTGGATTTTATGTCACTGCATTTTACTCTGAAATGAGGATGATCTGAGCAGTGGAGAGTGACAAAGACTCTCTCCTTGACCAGACTTCAGTAAGGCTCCTTTGAGCCCTCTTTTTGACTAGGCATAAACCTTGTCCCCCATCTTATCATTGGCCTGCCAAGCCCAGTCTTTACAAAGAATCCTGATAAGTTAGTTTAGCAAGAATCCTCTGCCTTTGATATCTGGTCACCCTTAATATCTGATAGAGTTCATCATCCTCAATCATTGATGTATTAGCAAGAATGCTGCAGAACCAGTTTAGCAAGAATCCCCCTGCTAATGATGTCTCCTCTTAGTAATTTCCCATCCACTGATCCCTCAATTTGTTCTTTGGCTATAAATCCCCACTTGTCCTTGTATTTGCAGTTGAGCCAAATCTCTCTCCCCTATTGCAACGCTCCTATTGTACTAGCCTTGAATTAAGACTTTCTTACCTAAATGTAAGAATAATTTTTTCTTTAACAAGAGACATACTCTGACTTTCATTTTTAAATAATCGCTGTGACTCCTGTGCTGAGAACAAGGTGAAAGGTTCAAGGAAAAAGTAGAAAGACTAGGACTAATGAGGCTTCTTCTCCATGAGAGAAGACAGCATTTGGAACTGAGTAGAATTATGAGAAGTGGTTGGATTCTGGATTTTTTTTTCTTATTTTTTAATTAAAAATTTTTTTACTTTAAATAATTTTTCTTTTTTGTTGTTGTTCTTTTCTTAAGCAGAAGCTGCCATTTGAAAGTAGAGCTGATGGACTGTGTAAAAGAAAGAAAAGAGAAGAAGAGAGGGAAAGATAAAAATTTATCAACTATATTATTTTTCTTAAAACAATGATATATCCTGGCCAGGTGCAGTGGCTCATGCCTGTAATCCTAGTGCTGTGGGAGGCCAGGGCAGGAGGATTGCTTGAGGCCAGGAGTTTGAGACGGTCTGGGCAACATAATGAGATTCTTGTCTCTACAAAAAAATAAAAACAAACCAAAAAAAACAATGAATTATGTTAGGTTTGTTCCAGGTGGGAATCCGAAAAGTATGTATAGGACAGAATGTGGTTAATGCAAAACTTAGGCTTGTGAAACAATAGCAGCAGGAGTCTGGAGAGTCCCTCTGGACTTCATAAATCTAACTGACAGCTGCAGCCAGCACTCCTTCCTGCTCCCTCCTCCCTAGCTCTCCTGATAAGGAAGACGGATGTGACTGGGGTAGGGATCCTAGGAGCTGGTTGTTTGAAAAATAATTAATTACAAATAGCTGTTCTGGTCCACTTACTTGCTCCCCATGGAAAAACCCTCTATAAAACCCAAGGCTCTCCTCTTCTCTCGTGGATGCTTTTTTGCCTCCACTCATCTGCACCCAGATGCTCAAAATAAACAGCATTTTGCTACACATGAGGCTTCCTGTGTGTCTCTGTCTCAGCTTTGGACTGAACAAATTATCCAAAAGAATCCACATAAAAGGGTTCAATTTATGCTTGTAAGTAAAACAAATAAGTATAACTGTATTCATAAAATATTTGAAAAGTCAATTTTATTTTCTTTTGCTATATTATCATTCCATTTCAGCCATCAATTTGAATACCATGTTTATATAATTAAAATAATATAGGCTTATTATAATTAATGGATGTGGAGGATAGAGCAACTCCATCTCAGATGCTAATCTACCATGTTGACTTCTGATTAACCCCCAGTTCTGGGAATGCCTCCAACATTTCTACTTTATCTAGTGTTACCGTAAATCCTGCCCTTAGGTCAAAAAAACCTTGACCATCGCCCTACCCTTAGGCAGATTCACCCAGCATTCTTGCCTTACCCAGAGGGGCTGGCTTCAAATTGTCCTACCCATTCCTTCCCTATGGTTTGTAAGTTCTGGCTCTGAGGTAATGTTACAGGGACCCGCCATCTTGTCTGGTGTGCGGCTGCCCAGTCTTGGCTTCTTTTCATAAGTCCCTATTAAATCTTTTCTTCTGAAAAAATGTACTTCTTAGCCTCTTTCTTTGGCCTCTCAGCTTCTAGGTCTTTGGGGGTAGGTTTGCATAGAACTGCTCACTGCAGAACGATAGATAAATCCACCATGTTTGTTATTATTGGGTAACAATATCACCACCTAATAAGGCAATGTTAACTTTTGGATGGATTTCCTTTTTGTCATAATTCCATGAATACATAAACACAAATGCCTACACAAACTCACAGTACATCCAGGCCATTAGCTACAAGAACAACAACAAAATCTCCTCAAAACAAAAACAAACTGTACAAAGCTCAAAATTCAAACATGGAAAAGATGTTAAGAACATTTAGAATGTAATGTTTTTCAATTATGAAGTATATCTATTCTTTTTAAATAGTCCTGGTAATTAAATTACATTATTTAAAAATATTCTTTGTGCTCTGTTTTTCTGATTATAAAAATCAATAATTAACTTAAATCTCTGACTTCCTTTATACATTAAACCAAGTGCAAATTTACTTTATTTTCTGTCCCATCTAGGATTTTCAATGTAGGACCTAATAGGCTATTGCCATTTCTATCCAATTTTCATACTTCTATATTTCATTTCCTCTCTCAACTATGAATTTTGGCAATTTCCTTGAGTTTTATAATTTACATTTATTTGTAATTAAATTTATATTTAATTTATGTCTTTATGGGCCTTGAGTTTTTCTATATTGCCATTTCCCTTTTTTTCTTGGTCTTGACATTTTTGTTCCCTTTCACATTGTCATTGTCACAGCCTACTTTGTGCTCTCTGTTCCACAGGCCTATTGTGCTTAGTATATGCAAGTGTTTAAAATCAAATTATAGCTCCCCTTCACTATTATTTGTAAGGCTGGTGGCAGGGGCCCCCTCCGCTCCCTAGGTGGAAAAAGAAAACGCTTAGTGACCTGACCTGCCAAGGACAAACTGCCAGGCCCCACTGAGAGGAACCACACCCGGATCTCCACCTGGATTCACACATGTCCAGCTCCTATTTCTAACGGCCACTCCAAGGTCACAATAGAGAATCCCATATTCCCGCCAAAAGCTCCTAGCCCGCCCAAAGGTATAAAAAGGCCTCAGCCCCTTCAAACTGGAGGCGACTTCGGGACGCAACCCCCCCCCCCCCCCCCGCGCTTGGGGCCCCAGAACCTCGCCTTGGCCCCCACTCTTTCTCTCTCTGTGTCTGTCTTTTCTATTCACCGCCACCGAAAAACCTTACATTTGGTGCCGAAACCCGGGAGGGGAGTCTTGGCTGCGACGGCCTGCCTCAGGGCCATGGTCGCACTGTCCCCTCTCGTGTCTTCCAGACCTCGGACCGGGACCTCCACGACCAGACGCACAAATTGGCCTGGGTAAGTCCCTCTGCCCTTGTGTTCCTAGCCCAATGAGTCCCATTCCAGGGTCTCTGTCCATAGCCAAGTCAGAGATCTCCACCATAAGGACTTGAGTGTCTCAGCGGACGCCAAGCCCCTCAGTCAGTCTTCAATCCCTAAGGATTACAAGGCCCTGAGCTGTCTCAGGACGCCTGAATCCCCTCAGTCAGTCCTTCCATCCATAAGGATTCACAAAGGGACCTGAGTGTCTCGGGGACGCCCGAACCCTCAGTCAGTCCTTCCATCGTAAGGATCATAAACCAAGAGTCCTCAGGACGCCTGATCCCTCAGTCGGTCCTTTCCAAGGCTCAGAGCCTTCTCTCCAAGGCCTGATCGGTGACCTGGACGCCAGCTCCCGATCTCCTTCCCTCATTGGGACTAGGACACCATGGGCAGTCAACCCATCCAAAATCAAATCTAGCACGCCTCTGGGCTGTCTCTTAGCCAGTCTTGCCAGCCCTGGGCCTCAGCCTGATATTCAGCCCAAGCGACCATTTTCTATTGTAACACACCGCCTAAGCCGATGACAAATTTAGGCAATGTGAGTCACAGGTGCCTAAAAATGGAGAGTTGTCAGTTTCAAAATCTTACAAGTCTCGATAACTTTTGTCCACCGAAATGGCAAATGGGGGAGAAGCCTTATGTCCACGGCTTTCTTTCCAATCTGCGCTCCGCACCGTCTTGCCCTCTGTCAGCACCTTGAAAAAAAAAAAATGCACCCGTCACAGAATCCTCCTTGCACTGAGTCCTCCCGCGTCCTTGGCCTCTTCCCACCTCTCAGCTGAAGGACCCGTTAGAAACCTCTTCCGCTTTCTGGCCGGCCTGACTCCTTACCTGTCCCCACTGCTCACGGCCTCCACCAATTAGGGTCCTCCTCCTCCTCCTCCTCCTCCTAGTGCCCCACCGTCCTCCGCTACTGCTTGCGCTGGCTCTCTGCCAACGTCCCCTGTCAGTCACCACGCTCGATCCCACGCAGGGCCTCAGGCAACCCTTCTCTGTCCCCTGAGAGAGGTAGCCAGTGCCGAAGAGGTCGTGCACGTCCATGTTCCCTCTCTCTTCTGATCTCTGTCAGATGAGAAGCGTTTAGGCTCCTTTCTAACGACCCCCAGCCTACACCAAAGAGTTCGCTGTCTTACACCAGCCTATGATTCGACCTGGCATGGCATTGTTGTCATCTGGCTTCTACTCTCACTACTGATGAAAAGGAACGTGTCTGGGCGGCAGCTCAGGGACTGCTGATCAGTCCACCTAGCAAGACCGCAGCATGCCGGTCGGGGCCGAGGCTGTCCACGGCAGGTGACCAGGGGGGAATACCAGCCAGAACACCCCCGCCGGGCCGAGATGTAGAACCACGCGAGAGGATCGCATGCTGCAATGCGTTCTTGCTGGTTCTCCAGGCGCCCGCCCATCGGGCAGTTAATTTTAATAAGCTTAGAGAAACACTTCAAAAGGCCGATGAAATCTCCGCGCGCTGATCCTTCAGCCGGCCTTACGGTACTGCTCTCAATCCAACACACCCAGTTGGACCCACCTCCCCAGCAGTGGGCCACCGTCCCTGCAGGCCACCTTTATCACCAGTTTCCTCCTCTTGACATTAGGCGCAAACCAAAAGCAGAGAAGGCCCTCAGACCCCCATCCGAGACCTGGTGAACATGGCATTTAAAATCTTTAGTTCCCGAGATGAACAGGCAGAGGCCCAAAGGAAAGCCCACGTCCACCAAAACGCACACCTGCAAGCCCAAGCCTCGGTTGCAGCCCTGCGGCCGGTGGGGCCCGGAAAGCCATCGACCACCAGCCACCAGCCACGCCACGCCGGGCACCTGCTTCAAGTGCGGTAAGGAGGCCACTGGGCCAACCGGTGCCCGCAGCCACGTCAGCCCAATAAGCCTTGTCCGGCCTGTGGTCAAGAGGGACACTGGAAGAGTGATTGCCCCTTGGGACAAACGTCTAGAGGGTCAGTCCTTCCACCCCCAGACCTGCCGTTGACGGTTTTGGGCTTGGCTGCAGAAGACCCACGAAGCCCCGGCTCTGCCACCCCGATCACCCTCGCTGAGCCCAGGGTAGCAATCAGGGTAGCGGGTGAGGCAGTGTCCTTTCTGGTCAACACGGGGCTACCTACTCTGTCCTGCTTCTTTTTCAGGCCCTACTTACCCTTCTCAGGTGTCGGTTATGGGCACTGACGGCAGTCCTTCATGGCCCCTACTACTGGCCCTCTGACACGTCTTATAGACGACCGTCCCATCACCCACTCCTTCCTCATCATGCCCTCCTGTCCCGCTCCACTTTTAGGAAGAGACTTATTAGCCAAATCAGGCACCACACTCCACTTTTCCTCAGGGACATCCGCCCTTCTCCTTCTATCCCTCTCTTCAGATTCCTCACCCCCACCCTCCGCCTCTCCCAAGACGCGCCCTCTCCCGCCTGAACTTGTAGACTCTGGGGTTGGGACACCTCCACCCCAGTAGTGGCCACACACCACACCCCGTCCTCATTCGACTCAAAGACCCTTCATCCTTCCCTTCCCGCCCCCAGTTCCCTGTTTCGCCACCCACCGCAGAGGTCTAAGACCCATGATAGAACGTCTTCCGTGTGAAAAACTTTTAATCCCAACTAATTCTCCCTATAAGGCACCCATTCTCCCGGTAAAGAAGCCAAACGGGTCCTACCGGCTGGTCAGGGACCTGGGGCTCTTTAAGGAGGCTGTTATCCCCATACACCCTGTGGTGCTAATCCCTGCACTTCACTTTCTCATATTCCGCCCTCCACTGCCCGCTTTTCCGGTCTGGACCTCAAAGATGCCTTCTTTGCTATCCCCTTAGACCCAGCCAGTTGCAATCTCTTTGCCTTTATGTGGGGAGATCCTGACACAAATACATCTAGACAACTCACTTGGACCGTCCTGCCCCAGGGGTTTGGGGACAGCCCCCACCTATTTGGTCAGGCACTGGCCCAGGACCTACTCCAATGTCCCTTACAGCCTAGCACTGTTCTCCAATACGTTGATGATCTGCTCTGTAGCCCCTCTTTACGGCACTCTAAGACCCGCACTGCCTCTCTGCTTAACTTCCTTGCCTCCAAGGGCTGTCGAGTGTCCCCCTCCAAAGTCCAGCTGTCCGAGCCCACGGTCACATATCTTGGACTTCGGCTCACCCCCACGTCCCGGGATCCCACTGTTGACCGCCAACGGGCTCTTCGCGATCTCCAACCACCCACGCCCGCTGAGCACATTGTCTTTCCTTGGATTTGTTGGTTTCTTCCGACACTGGATCCCTAACTTCTCCCTCCTTGCTAAACCCCTCTATGAGGCAGCCCGTGATGCCCCGCTGGCCCTTTACTAAACCCCCGAGCTGTCGGCCTCGCATTTCTAAAGCTTCGTGACACTCTACTCCAGGCACCACCTCTAAGACTCCCTCATCCTGAAAACCCTTTCACCTCTACACAGACGAGCGCCAGGGCCTGGCCCTCGGTGTCCTCGCCCAGCCCTTAGGCTCCTGGAGCCCACCCACCTGTGCTCCAGTGGCTTATTTATCCAAACAACTAGACACCACGGTCCTGGCTGGCCGCCTGGCCTTAGGGCACTGGGCGTGGCAGCCTCTCTCACCAGGGAAGCACTGAAGCTGTCCCTGGGACAGCACCTTCATGTCTTTTCCACCCATCGCCTCCAAGATCTGCTGACTCACCGCTCGTCGGCGCTCCTCACTCCCTCTAGGTTACAGGAATCCCATCTCATATTCATAGGAAATCCCAACATCACCCTAACACAGTCTGCTACTCTAAACCCCGCTACTTTGCTGCCCATCCCGTCCTTAACCCTCTCCTCTCGCTCCTGCCCGGAGACGGTCGATGCCGCCACCACCTCCAGGCCGACCTCTCGGACCAGCCCCGCTCAGATGCAGACTTAACACTGTTTGCTGATGGCGGCTCGACCGTGGGCGATGACGGCAAACGCCAGGCAGCCCATGCCCTTGTCTCGGCCTCTCAGGTTACAGAGGCGCCCGCCTCCCCGAGGGCTCTGCTTCCCAGAAGGCAGAACAGACTCTGGCCGGACAACTTGCTCCTTCTCGTCCCCATAACCCCACTCTCACCTCTTGGTTAGATATCATACAGCACACCCTCACCTTCCTAAATTCCCCTGAAATAATCCCTAATATTTCCCACTGTTTCCTCTGTGCCTCCCTTCAGCAGCCCCTGCTGGCTGCTGTCCCTCTAAACCATTCTAACCCCCAAACTCCCTCATCAGCTCCCTCATGCTCCACTCCGCTCTCTCGCGTTCCCTTTGGGAACCTGAGCCTACAGGCCAGCCCTACGCAGACCGCGTGCGCTTTCTCACCTCCCGCACTGGCCCCCGCCTACAACTTCACGGACGCCGCCTTACCAACCATACTGTGACCACAGCCACGTCCTCTGCTCTGGGACAGTTCTTCTGGTGCAACGGAGCACTTACCCGCTGCGTCAATACATCCACCCCGGGTCCCTGTTTCCCTGTCATGGTGGTCCCTCAATAAACTCTATACGGTGAGTCTGAGTTTGGATGGCTTCTCCCAGAAGCCCAGCCAAGACTAGCCGTCTTTCTACCTGTCATGGTAGGTCTCAGCTTGGCCTCTTCCATTGTGGCCTCAGGGCTCGCGGGAGGTGCCCTGGGCCACGGTGTCATTTCTGCCCAAGATTTTGCAGACCCGCTGATGACTGGAAAAAGAAAAACCTGCCTTTTCCTTCATAAAGAATGCTGCTGCTATGCTGGCGAATCGGGCCTTATGGAGCGGAACATAGACAAGCTCACCAACCTGAGTAAAGACCTGCACAACCGCCGCCGCTGGGATGCGTCCCCCTTTGGCTGGATACAATTCCCTTTGGCTACCTGGCCATTGCCGCTAATAGGACCCAGTGTCATCATCTGCCTAATCTTTCTGTTTGTTCCCTGTCTTTTGCAGTTCCTCCAGCGCCGCCTACAAGAGCTGACAGGAGTGGCCGTAAACCAACTACTTCTTCATCCATACTTTCCACTACCAACCGCCCCTCCACAGCCGCCCCGCCTAGAGCCCCTGACCAGGCCCCTCCTAGCAGGAAGTAGTCGGAAAGAGCGGGCCCATCAAAACCAAAAGGCCGGAATGTAAGGCTGGTGGCGGCCCCCTCCGCTCCCTAGATGGAAAAAGAAAACACTTAGTGACCTGACCTGCCAAGGACAAACTGCCAGGCCCCACTGAGAGGAACCACACCCAGATGTACACCTGGATTCGCTCCTGGATTCCACAAATACCTCCAGCCCCTCCTATTTCTCAACGACCTCCAAGGTCACAATAGAGAATCCCAGCTCTTCCCCCCACAAGTCCCTAGCCCCACCCAAAGGGTATAAACGGCCTCAGCCCCTTCAAACTGTGGCGACTTCCGGGACCCCCCCTCTCTTGGGGCCCCAGAACCTCGTTCACGAGTGTATAATAAAGCCACGTGGTTTGGCCCCCACTCTTTCTCTCTCTGTGTCTGTCTTTTCTTTTCGCCGCTGCCGAAAAAACCTTACATTATTCTCTTATTTACGTGATCACTTTATGATGTCCACCCCTGTGTAAATGTGCATCAGGGCTTATGGCCTAGATGGATTTGGGGAATAAAGGGACATACTGTTCAAATGTCATCCAGACACAACTTCCACCTGAATGACAGAAACACGCCATAAGCTATTTACATCTTGTCCTATATGAACTCTCTGAGAAGTTTAAAGGATATTACAATTGAACAAACACAATCAAGGTGATTGCACATATTTGTTTAGGAAAAAGAACCCAACTGACCTCCAGGAAAAGATGTGCAGACAGGCTGGTGCTGAAACAAAGAATCCCAAGGGGAGGTTCTACCCGGGTTTTTCCCACACAACCCTACAAATTATGGGGTAAGTCGTGAAACCTACAATTTTCAATTGTGTCTTTAAACTTATTTGTTTAAAAGACATTGCAGTTATGCTAGCGTGTTTTTTCTTGCCTGTATTATGCACTGAATCAGGGAGCACAAAGCAAATGTCAGAGAGCTGGCAGCTTTGAGAGCTCTTGCCACAGGCATGACAAGGGTCTCTTCTGTTTTAGGCACAACAATTTTCTTGGATATGGTACATAGTAGACACTTAAAGAACTTAAAGGATATTAATGGAATAAAGAGGAATAAAAATGTAGATTATATTAAAAATGTGGTGTTGTTCCGGTAGATAACAAAAATGTTTTTTCAGGTAATTCTTGGTAGGTGAGGCAGTAAAAGTAGTATAAATCTAAAGCTCTCATCATATCCTTTAAAAAAAGCAATAAAAGATGTGGAGGAGAAAAGAGGGACTGTGGTGTTGCTAAAATTGATATAAAACCACCACCAGGTGGAGACAGTGTGCTTTCTATGAAAATATGCAAACGTGTACTGGTATTTAAGAGAACTAAATATAAGTGCTTACAAGTACATGTAGTATATATAAATGACTCCTACAAATCAACAACAAAACAACCTAATTAAAAATGGGCAAAAGAGCCGGGCGCGGTGGCTCACGCCTGTAATCCTAGCACTCTGGGAGGCTGAGGCGGGCGGATTGCTCGAGGTCAGGAGTTCTCTGTCTCCATTCCCCGAAAAGGAAAGAGGGAAAATCCTAGAACAGACAAGAATCACTTCTCACAATCAGCCACAGTGTGGGAAAGACAAGACAATGAGGGCCCAAGTAAACAAAATGATTAAACAAGACGAATAAAAAACAAACAAAAAACAAAAACAAACAAACAACAACAACACAAAACAAACGTAAACAAATTGACCCCCGTTCCGCGAACCTCCCCCCCGGTCCCTTCTGAGCCGAGCCTCCAGCCTCATAGGTCAGCCGTGGGGATTCCCAAAGGAGGCCAGAGACGTCCCGTGTGGCCCTCCACCCGGCCAACCCAGCAAGCGCGTCCGCCTAGGTCCTTAATGCGGGGGTCCTAGTCCGGGAGGTCTCCAATCAATACACTCCTCGCTGGCTTGCGTCTATCAGCGGTCTGGCGAGGAATCGCCGGACGAGCCCCAAAAATGTTTATCCGAGATTCACCAAGGCCGCAGGACAGAGAGACAGAGTCACCGTAGGCTGTAATTACAAAAAAATGGAGTTTTATTGTTCTAGTTCTTTTTTGAGCTAGGGGTCCGGAGCCCCCAGAGTGCCAGCGCAGGGGCCTTCTCTCCGGGCAGCCCCTCTTTAGGCGGCCCCTTTTATAAACTTAGTTGTTACACACTGGTCTGGCATCCGCCACATGATTCGTTACTTCAATCCTGCCCCTGATAGGCCCTAACTCTGTTCCCGGGTCCTAGACTGAGAGACTCCCCACCGTGGTTTTGCTCTTTGTTTTTTCCTCGTGGCATCCACATAGTATACCCCAATATGCCTTGCGTCAGCAAAAAGCGGTTAAACAGAGCTGGGAAAGGTGTGCTCTATTGTCCTTATAGCCCGAGTATCCTTACACCATCTTGGAGGAAAAAGAAATCTGTTAACGGCCCGCGCCTGACAAGGGTGTGCTCTTCGGAGGTATGGGGGATCGGTAAAAGGAGAAAACCATGGACAAGCAGCTGGCTACTCCCCTGGAAATAATCCGCATCAGCCGGACAGAATTCAATTATGGCACCAGTGGTGCGCTGAAAAGTGTGAGGGAAAACGATGTGGAAGACTGGCGTAGACCCTTACGCTGCTGTCCCCGCGCCCCACAGGGGCTCGGTGTTGCCCGGCACAGAAAAGCCAATCCTGGGAAGGAATTGTAGGCGGAAAGGATATTTCTGTGGCATGTCAGCAGGGCAGGGGAGAGGTATGAACTGCCTTCAACCCCAGCCTCCTCTGGGCCAACAGGTCAAGGGGCTTCTTGCAGGTTGGAGCTGAAAAACGCCGCCGGGCGGGGCGCACTGGCGCTGCTGGCGTAGTGCAGGGGGCACGCAAGCGCGGTGGGAAATCACCCTAGGCACAGATGTCCGTGATCAAACAGGGCGGGTAAAAAGTTCCTCCAAGGGCGAGATTTCTGTGTTATAATTAACTAGGGGTTAATATTTGGTCGTGTCTTTCGCCTTGTAGCGCAGCTCCGTGGGGTCTCTTGGTGCACCGCGTCTGTGCGGAGTAATCGCTTCCGTGTTTCTCCAGACACAGGCGGGGTGCGGAGGGCTTTTTGCAGAGGTGCTTGCCGTTCCTGGAGATAAGAAACAAAAACTCAAAAAAAAAGACGAATGCTTCAGTGCAGTCAGAGAAACAAAAGCAGAAGGCACAGCGTCCTGGGATCACTACAATTTTGCCCTAATGAATTCTCTATTTCTGAAGCTCATTGAGACTGTAGTGCTAAGTTGCCAAGGGTGAGATAAATCCACTGTCAAGGCCACTTTAGAAGTGCCATGCCCCAGCCATAATGTGAACATAAAAACTTATGTCGGAGGCCGAAAAAGTACCTTGAGCAACTGTTGGCAACCATCCCAAGTGGGCTAATTTGAAAAAAAAAAAGACTGAATCTAAAAGGTTAATTAAATCCCTATCTGCTCTCAGGGGGAGCGCCCTCACGGGCTCCGGATCTGGAGCCCTTTCAGCCCGCTGCCTAGCCCCGTAAGCCGGTCCCCGCCTCAGCGGTTCCATTGCGGCCATAGGCGCCGCAGGTACCATTGCCACCGCCACCAGGGGCGGGGTCGAGCGGGAGGGGCGCGGGCGCCACGGGGAGGGCCCTGGGCACGGGCGCTGCAGGGAGAGCGCAGGGCGCGGGCGCCACGGGGAGGGCCCTGGGCACGGGCGCTGCAGGGAGAGCGCAGGGCGCGGGCGCCACGGGGAGGGCCCTGGGAATGGGCGCCACGGGGAGGGCCCTGGGAATGGGCGCCGCAGGGAGAGCGCAGGGCGCGGGCGCCACGGGGAGGGCCCTGGGCATGGGCGCTGCAGGGAGGAGCGCAGGGCGCCGGCGAGCATAGGGCGGGCCCTGGGCACCGGCGCCAAAAGCCACCCTGTTTGCTTTGGCGTCTCTCTCCCCTCACAAAGGTCCTGTGCCCCCTCCCTCACATCCTTAAAGTGACTCACGAGGATAGACAACGGCGTCGTCAGAGTCTGTCTCATT